TTAGAAGATGGGGTCTCTCTTCTCTCCTATAACACTGTGATGATATATCATAAGACACAAAGCCTAAAGAAACCACAAAAAGATAACACTTCTGGTAAAACTTTGCCCCCCGGGAAATATCACATGGTATCTCTACCAACCAGTATTTGGCCACTTCATGAAAACTATTACCAGGAAGGAAATGATACTTTCAGAATGCTAACCATACTAGAGAATTTTTGGAATCCAGATTCCCAGTATTCAATAAATTATCAAGCAACAATTTTTAACTGCTGTTCTGAGCAAGTGCAAATCTTGCTCAATTATTTATTTTTTGTGCACTTTAGAAGTAAAGTAGCGACATGGAAAATTAATTTTCTCTGTAAATTTAAAAGCAAATTATAATAAAGAAAAAGAAAATATAGGTGCTAATACTATTGAAGTCTGAAACAAAGAAACAAAAATTAAGTTAGTCAATATTTCTTAATCTCAACTCTATATGGTTACCTAATAATATATCCCTTAAAGGAATCATTAGATATTTTAGTGAGATCATACTTTATGTACTTGAACAACATAAAGAAAGAGTCACTATGGTAATGAAGATGGCTTTGCAAGATGTTTTAAAGTCTTCACTATAAGAGACATTGTGTATCCTGTCATTGTTAATCTTAAGTGGTGTCAATTCAGTTCCAACTCTTGGTGATCATATATAGAGTTTCCAAGGAGCATCGGAACCACTAGGTTTCTGGTTAGCTGTCCAGTATTAGCCTACAGTGCTATACCAGGATCTCGAATTGTGACTATATTCAAGCCTACTGCCCCAATGAATTGGAACTGACTTGCCAGCACTTAATAACAACAAAAACATCATGCCTGTACGGCCCTGGTGTAGTGCTGTAGGATAAGCACTGGACCCATATTTGGCTTGAACTGAAAGATGCACAGTTTAAACTCACCATCCATTCCTCAGATACCCTGTACCTGGGTCATTATGTGTCAAAACCAATGCTATGACATTTGACAACAAGCCTCTAATTGACCGTGGTTACTTGAAGGAGCTCTGGTAACATAGTGGTTATGAATTGGGCTGCAAACCACAAGGTCAGCAGTTCAAAACTACCAGCTGTTCTGCGAGAGAAAGATGAGGCTTTCTGCTCCCGTAAAGATTACAGCCTCGGAAACCAGTACAGGGTCGCTATGAGTCGGAACCGACTCCACGGCACATAACAACTACCACCACCACTTGAAATCTCATGTTTACTTATAATCTAAAGACTACTTAGGAAATAATATCTAGAAATTGCATTTTAACCAGAAAAAACACAAGCACTAAAAGAAGGTGTGGATTACTACTCATTGGAAACTCTTAATGTAAATGTAAAATTTGAAATGAACACTGTCAACTAAGGTTCAAATAATCTCAACATGGCTCTAAGTTACAGATGAGAAGACAGACTAGAAGAAGACAGAAGTATGATATGTTTATAAATCCTCACTGTGGGCATTGAGAAAGCGGTTACGTTAAAAATATAAATTAAGTTTAGAAATAGAAAGAAAAAAAAAAATATGTTATCTAACACTAGACTATAAAGGTGTCCTGCTTTGGCATTGTAGGATAAGCACTGAATCCCAAGGTCAGTTTGAACCATAAAGGTGGCAGTTCACACTCACCAGCCGCTCCTCAGATACTTTATACAGGGTCACTATGAGTTGAAATCAACTCCACAGCACTTAACAACATCAACACCACCAAAGAATATAAAACTTAAGTAATATAGAAATGATTGCAGGGTAAATAAATTAAAAAATCTTTAATTCAAGAAAAATGATCAGTGGACATACATAGGATTGTAACAAGAAAGCATGAAAAATAGAAAATGGCTGAGATAAATTAGAAACTATTAGTGCTTAAAAAATAAATAACTGATTATGGATTGAATTAAAAGAGTTTCACACGTGAAGCTTTAAAAAACCAGTTGTATGATGATGGTGGTAGTAGTTGTATATCATAGAGTTGATTGTGACTTATAGCTACCCTGTATAAAGTTTCCAAAGCTGTAAATATGTACAGAAGCAGAAAGTTTCATCTTTCTCCCATGCAATGGCCGGTAGATTTGAACTGCTGACCTTGCGGTTAACAGCCCAACACTCAACCCACTACACTACCAGGGCTCCTTAGTCATATGTTAGCCGTCCCCTGAAATAAAACACACCTCATGTAATATAACAGTAAAAGATTAAACAAAATGGACAAAGATGCGCCATGTAAATTTTAGTAAAAAGAAGACAGCTGTAACAATAGTGACATCAAGTAAAATAAAATTCATTACAGAATGTTATTTTAAAGGAGACAAAGATGGATATGCCATATTAATAAATGGAACAATCTGCCAAATTATAAATATTTATACATTTTTATCTTCTTAACAACATAGACTCAAAAATATAGATTAAAATTAAAATACTTCATGCTGAAATTGAGAAATCCAGTCATATTGCGATTCTTTATCATCATGCTTTGAAAACTGACAGATCATAATGCTATTTCATATCATAGGGGAAACATTAGAATTCAAGATTACTGATACTGGAGTAATTGTTACCCATAAAAATACAATACTCTTGTCCCCTAACCTACTTCATGGTGGAAACAAAATCAGGGTGATTAATGAGCTAAATATAAACAACAACAAAATGATAACTATATTAGAAATAATATCAGGGCAATGACTTGTATGGAATAT